TCATATAAGTAGCTTGGATCCTGGATTGAAAATAGCAATCTTGTATCAGATATGGAAAATAACAATTGGATATTAGTTCAGAAATAATACCTGAATGCTGAAAGTAAGAGCCAATATGTATGCCCATCCAAATAATGAAATGATCCCTATACTAGAAAGGATTGCAATTGGACCAAATTCTTGTCTGCACCCTTTGTTGTAGCTGTATACTACAAATGATCCCCATGAAACCAAAACATAATTAGTAATTGTAGCTGGTTTGATCATTACTCAACCCCATGAATTGGCCAAAATAATCCCAACAAGTGTACTAACAAATCAGAGGAGAGAAATAATGGCATCTGTTGTTATTACAACAGATCGAGAGAGGGTGTTTGGGTGTATTATTATTATTTTATTATATTTATTTTTWTTTTTTTTTTGTGAGGAGAAGTTTGGGTGTATTAGGAGCCAAGGTTTGATGGAAGCTGTATACACAGAAAACTACTTTTTATCTATTATGGATTTCTTCTCCTCTGTCACCGGTGGATGTATGCTATAAGTCAAATCACATAAATCTCTAGGTGTAATACTGAGTTGATTTATTTTATATTTTCCTTTTATTTTCACCATTTACCCATTGATTTTAGATCTTGAATTTATCCTTGGGCAACAGAAAACAATTGACAAACAAGATCAAAGATAAAACAACAGAAGAGTACTGATCACTTTTATATGGCCAATGAGGATCCACAATTAGTTGTTATAAAAGTGTTGTTTATGGATAAATTTTAGAACTCAGAGGTAATATTCCCCGTTGGTGGGATCAAACTGATAATGAGTATTAGTGTATTACTTAAACTGGACGATCGATTAAATTAACATTTCATGAAATAAATAAAATGTATGGAGTAGCTAAGGCGATTCACTGATGATTAAAAAGTAAGGGGGAAAGGGATGAGAAGGGAACAAGGGTTCCAAAGAATGAGAATCTGCTTTAGCATATTGAACAAGGGTTCCAAAGAATGAATCGTAGAAAAAAATACGAGCAGATCCCAACTATACTCACCGGTTGCCTGGATCTGGTGTGAAAAACCGCTAATGGTAACAGTGAAGAAGTAGATCGATCCCAAAAAAGAGTAGAGCAAAAGATAAAACCAGTCAGTTAGTGAAAAAAAAGAAGGAAGAATGAGGAAGAGGAGGAGAGGAAGAAGAAGATGGCGATGGAGTTTGGTTCAGCTCGCCGTTGATTTCGAAGAAGAAGAAGAAGGAGGAGGAGGATAATGGTTTAACAGTGGTCTTACCTCGCCGGAGGTTGGTTCGGTTCTCTGTTCGGCGATGGAGTTCTCCCTGTTCGGCATTTTTGTCAAAAGAATAAAAAAAGATATTCATATCCGGAATGGGAATCGCATTCCCTGGGGAGGGGTCGGGAATGGCCATTCCCCCTTCCCATTCCGCCTAAAATGGGAACAAGATTTCGATTCCGCCAAACCAAACATTTAGAATCGGAATGATCCGATTCCGGACCCCTATTCCTGCGAACCAAACACAACCTATATATATATATATATCCCCAGCTTTAAGTTGCTTTCTATCTCCAGGCCTCAATCTTCCACATCATAAATTGCTGTCTGTTGGAGATCTAGTCAACCTGAAAATCCTTTTAGGCTTTGATTCGAATATTATACCCCCTAGCTAAGACCCACTACTTATTTCTCTAAAAATATTTGTCTCAATGTATACTACTAGTTAGTTAAAACAAAGTTGATGATGAAGAGAGAAATCGATCCCCACCATCTGGTAACTTGTGCTTGCAAGCTGACGAGCATCGATCCCCACCATCTGGTAACTTGGCTTTCATACTGGACCTCTTGGGATAACCGCAAAGCTAATGGTGATGATATCTCACTAACAGCAAGAAGTGACATATATATTCGAGATCATCACTAACTAAATTGGTGATGGAGAATCGTCTTTTTGATCCATTTTTATAAAACTTCTATATAAATGCTATCCATGCAACCTTCCAAGAGTAACGGTACTTGTTGTTTAATTATAAGAATCATAGTCTTCCACTTGGTCCAAACCTCCCATTAGTTGACTTAAGGCTAACTTCAATAGAGCTATTTCTTCTCATCATTTTGGTGCGGGGGTTGTTATATTCGAGATCATCAAGGATTTCTGGTTGTGGCTCGGTCCACTCCTCTTTCTTCTTCTCTTGTAGAAAGTGAATCCTTAGCACTTAGAGAAGCTAGCTGCTCTGAGGTTAATTCTCTGTTCGAAGCTGGATTTTGTTCTTACTGATCAGGGAGATTCACAAATTGTTGTCCATTCTTAATTTGTTGGAATCTTCTTACAAAGCTCTTTGGAGGATATCTACTATCCTTTCATACTGCAAGGACATGTTATCTCTTCTCTCTCATAATTCAGTGATTTATGCGCCTCGAGTTTGTACTTTGTAATATGGTGGATCACAAACTAGCTCAACATGCATCACAATTCCTTAGACTTGTACTTAGGTCCACACCGCCATCTTCCATCTTTTCTTTTCTTTTCTCACTCACTATAGTCTTATTGTATCATTGGAGTTTCTTAAATGAAAGTTGCCACCTTGCCGGTTGGTATTAAAAAAAAAAAACAGAAAAGTACAAACAGGTTCAATGCAGATTTTTGAATTCTACTGCAAAGTTATAAACATTTAAAATGTCAAAAACCCACATTTTATACACCAATGCTCACCCATAAATTGGCATCAATTCCAATCTAGCACCCACCCAACTATACTTTGGGCATAAAAATTCTGACCCTGGGCTGAACCTTCATTCTCCCAAAAAAATAACATGAAATGACAAAACACAAGAAATTGTTTTAAGTTAAAATATCAAACAATTTGTTTCTTCTTCTTCTTCTTCTTCTTCTCTTTCTCTCTCTCCCACAATGAAAAAAGAAAGTGATGAGTGCGGATTTGGCCCTCCAATGATATTGTGACACATGGCACATCGGAACAACTGGGTGACACCCGGAACCACTTAGGCAACAACTTAGCCAAGATGATGGTGTCCCGAACTGGCGACCTGGCACAAGCGCCGACCTAGCGACCAACCTTTATGCCGAACTAGCAACCTAACTAGTAGGATAACAGCTCAGCCTGACACGCCAAGTCCGCAACGGATCAAGCTCGGATAACCATACCACCTCGGAACAGGACCACCTCGGGACAAGTCCACCTCGGGACGAGTATACCTCGGCACAAGGTCATATCAGGACCACCTCGGTCCCAAGGCACTTCAACATTCATATCATGTCAGATCTAAAGAGCACGAGCTCAGGCAATGCTGACCGACCACCGCATGGCAACCCCAGAGATCTCGTCACCGTACTCCGCGTCTTACGGGATCGTACCTTGTAACGGCTAAATATCATCTCCCCACTCCCTGATTCAGGCGGAAATGGTCAGCCTTATCGGTTGGTAGCGTTATCCCGAACTAACACGGAAACGGATCCTGTTGCAGCGAGAATTCCGAAACTACTCCACCGAACCCGCAAGGACTCCAGTATATAAAGGCTTCACCCCCCAGGGGTGAAAAAGAGGAAAAAAGAGAGGCGTAATCTCTGCTCTCTAGCCCTCTTACAATCTAATATCATTTTCAACTCGCAACCAAGTGCTAACTTAAGCATCGAAGCGATCTTGCCTAGTAAACAACCCCGGGTTCTCTGGTTCATCTCTTGTAGGTTCATCGAGCCCGTCGTTGTTGGTAGCCAGATCATCTCTGCAGGAGCAGCCGGATTGGGCTACATCATAAAGTAATGATTACCTCTAGGGCATTATTGTAATATCTTGAAAACTCAAGGTCATAAGTATGGGGCATTGTTGTAATATTTTGAAAATTCAACGTCATAAGCATTGATTACTTTTGGATGCATAATTGTAATTTTTTTAACTCATATTCCATTCCCTAGATGTAGAAATTGGCCTTAGATTCCATTTGTAGAATGTTGGGGGCCTTACAGATACATTAATTTTTTTTTAGTATTATGAAAAACACTTTTATGAAAACATTTTTATAAAATCACTTTTACGAAAGTAATTTATAAAAGCACTTTTATGAAGTACTTTATAAAAGTATTTTTATGAAAGTACTTTTAAGAAAATACTTTTATATTAAAATTACTTTTATAAAAATACTTTTACGAAAGTACTTTTATGAAAGTATTTTTATGAAAGCACTTTTATAAAAACACTTCTACTGAATTTTTTCTACAAAAGTGTTTTTATTCATTCGCTTTGGATTGAATTGGACCCAATCTGGTCCATTTGCATTTTAATTGGATTGGATTGGATTGTAGCAGGTGTTGTAGTTTTTTTTATATATTTTCTGAATTTCTCATGTTATTTTGGTGTTTGATTCAATTTGGATTGGATTTGACCCAATTCGGTCAATTTGCATTTTATTTGGACTAGATTGGACTTGGTTTGTATGGATTTGGTCCAGTCCATTTGTAAATGGACTAATATTGGATTGGACCAAATCCAGTCCAATTGACATCCCTACCGGTAAACATCTATGTTGATGATTTTAAAGACCTCTATAAGTTAGTGATTTATGACTGTTAACACAATTATTATTTTTTTTTTAAGTATGAAAATGAGCAACATAAGGCACTTACCAGTTTGAACAGAAAAATCATTTTTTAGAAAAAAAAATGTTTAGTTCGTAACAATATTTTCTCATTTTTATCTATTATTATCCATTTAAAATTTTATCTTGGACAAAAATGAAAAGAAAATGAGAATTGAACTAAATATAAACTGAATATATATGAGGCAAAAGGTACAAATTTTGCATTAGGTAGAAATATAAGTCATAGTTTAATTTATCAGTTGCAAATTAAATTTACATTGTGGCAGAATTGCACCGCAAACAATCATAGCAAAAATTCGAAGAGAGGTGATACCGTCAACTTTGTTCTGAGCAATAAATCCAATAATATCTTATCGTACAGAACTGAAATTCTGCTTCTCTGTTTGTCACATGCAAATAGTAAGAACCCAATGGCCCACATTTACAGTTTAATGGTCGGGGAGTTTTAGCAGCTTTAATGTATCTTTTTCTTTCCTTCCAGTGTCCTTGTTGACAGGATTGTCCGTCCGTGACCATCATCGGTCAATGGTTTTTAATTTTTGGGATAAGTAACCCTTTAATTGTTTTTTCTTTTTCTTGTCTTCTAAAGGTAAATCAATGTTTTTAAAATCGGGCCGGACAGAGAACCCTTTGAGGACCAATTCCAGGGTTGAACGATTTGACTGGCTGTTGTCTGGGTCGATGGTTTAATTTTGCGTCAGTGATTTGCTGATCAAATCAATGGTTTTTTGGTTTAAAGACAGTTTTAAGGTGAAACAGGTCTAAAGACAGTTTTGAGGTGAAACAGGTTTAAAGACAGTTTTGGTTCAATCGCTTGCGTCAGGTGACCGGTTTCTGGTTTTTCCGATATGACCGTCGGTCCGGTCTGGTTTTGAAAATACTGATGTAAACCAACTAAAATCTTTGAGAACAGAGTGCATTGTGTTTGATCTGTCTTGACATTTGCTCTTATTTATGGTCTGCTATTTGATCTGTCTTGACATTAGCGAAGAAAAACCCAAAGGGGAATTTTCATTGAGGTCTGAGGTGGATGTGAAGGGCTTGATCCCCTGCGATACAGACCCGACCCATTTTGTGCTTTGAGGTCCAATTAGAATATGTCCTCTTAAGTTTTTGGGGTTTTCTCTTTGGGTAAAATATAAAAATCTCCTTTGAAGTTTCTGATAATCATAAAAACCTCTCTTATAGTTTCATTTTAACAAATGCCTCCCTGAATTTTTGAGAAACTCAACAAAAACCCCCATTCCGTCACTGTCCCAGACAGAAAATGTTAGATTGATTCACCGGTTTTTTCCAAATACCCATTCTACCCTTTTATAAATTATTTTACATACAAAATTACTGAAATAACCCCATTTTAACTCAACAAAAACCTCTTTTAACGATCATTGCAGTAATTTTACATACAAAATTACTAAGATATGTTTTTTTTTTGTTGAGTTAAAATGGGATTATTTCAGTAATTTTGTATGTAAAATAATTTATAAAAGAGTAGAATGGATATTTGGAAAAAACTGGTGCATCAATCTAACGTTTTCCATCTGGAACGGTGGCGGAAGGGAGGCTTTTGTTGAATTTCTGTAAAATTCAGGGGAGGTATTTGTTAAAATAAAACTATAGGGGAGGTTTTTATGATTGTCAAAAACTTCAGAGGAGATTTTTGTATTTTGGCTTGAGAACGAAGATAGAGCTAAGTATAAATCCGTGTGTGCTCTGTTTTCTGTGAGAGAGAATACAGGAGGCTTTGTGTTAGTGTGTGCTCTGTTTTCTGATTATTTGTTATATTTCTTCTCATATCTCTGTTTTACTTCATTATTTTGCCATTCAAATATGTATTTTTGGGTACAACACATTATAATCCTTGTATCATCCTTTTGTGGAGATACCTGCTATACTTAATATTAAATCATTACTTTGTTTTCTATTTTTTATGGGGTGTATTATTTAAGTTGAAGAGATAACATGAGATATGCTTTTGAAAGTATTTGAGGGGTTAG